CCCCGGAGACAGGAAGCTGTTTGTAGTTCTCCACGGTCCATTCCAGGACTTTGTCTCACTCCTCTCCTGGAACAAAGTCTTTTCTTCCAAAGTTCACGCGTCCATTCATCCCAGCTTTTTCACTCCCTCATCTCTGGCTAGGGAGTTCCATGCAGAACATTCTCCCACTTTCCTTAACAATTTTGCAACTCCCTCACCAATGTTTTCTTTCCGTCACATCCCTATCGTGCCTCATACAACTTCAAAACCCTCACTGATTCGGACACCCTGACCTCAATATCCTCCACTCCTAGCAGTATCATCATCTCCAATCCCCTTTGTCAGTAAGACGACACTTTAGACCATGGTTCTAGGCAGGGCCAGTTCACCTCTAAGATCTCAAATTCCGAGTTCTCCCTCTCTGATTACCTCCATAGCTTTTCCCTCCCCTGCCCCATCAGGCCACCTTCCCTAATCCCCAAGTTCATCAGCCCCTCCTTACTTCAACGACCGACCGCTCTTCCCAGCTCATTCCCTAAAACCACCAAGCCCCTGACTTCTGCCCTACCCAAGACCATCTTCAATATCCAGTGTGATGGTTAGTTTTTTTTCAGCTTTATTGAGGTATAACAGACACAAAAATTTTAAGGTGACTAAAGTATAGATCATGGTCATCTGATACATGTATACATTGTAAAAGGATACCCCCATCCAGTTAATTAACATGTTGTGATGGTTAAATTTTTTTTTTTCCGAGGAAGATTAGCCTTGAGCTACTACCACTACTGCCAATCCACCTCTTTTTGCTGAGGAAGACTGGCCCTGAGCTAACATCTATGCCCATCTTCCTCTATGTTATACGTGGGATGCCTACCACAGCATGGCTTTTGCCAAGCAGTGCCATGTCCGCACCCAGGATCCAAACAGGAGAACCCTGGGCCACCGAGAAGTGGAACATGCGAACTTAACCCCTGTGCCACTGGGCCGGCCCCTGTGATGGTTAATTTTATATGTCAACTTGACTGGGCTAAGGGATGCCTGGATGGCTGGTAATTCATTATTTCTGGGTGTCTGTGGGGGTGTTTCCGGAAGAGATTAGCATTTGGCTCGGTAGGCTAAGTAAAGATCAGCCTTCATCAATGTTGGTAGGCATCATCCCATCTGTTGAGGCCCAAAGAGAACAAAAAGGTGGAGGAAGGGTGAATTCACTCTCTCTGCTTGAGCTGGGACACCTGTGTTCTCCTGCCCTTGGACATCCGTGCTTCCAGTTCTCCAGACTTCAGGACTCCAACTAGGACTTACACCACCTGTTTTCCTGGGCCTCCAGTATGTAGACAGAAGCTCATCGGACTTCTCAGCCTCCATAATTGTGTGACCCAATCTCTCATAATAAATCTCTTTCTATATATGTCCTATTTGTTCTGCTTCTCTGAAGACCCCTGACTAATACACCCAAACGACCACGGCATCATCCAGTGCCCTCTATCCTACTCTGAGTTTGGCCAGCACTGATGGAGAGTCTTGGCACCTTCATGTTCTCCAGGCTCAAATGGTCACCACTCTTGTAAAGTCCGTATTGTATTTCTCAGACAACTTCTGTCAACTTCTCCCACACTTCACAAGCCCTGCTTGGTCTCCTGGCCTTTCTGTTTCAGTAGATGGCCCTCTCTGCTTCTTCACTGACATTATCAAGTACATCTCTACTTGAATTTTCACAGGTCTCAAACTTAACATGTCCAAAACTCAGGCAAAGCTCCTACCAGTTGCTTGTGATTGAAACCTGGGGGCCATTCTGACATCTGCCTCTCCCACATACCTCATACTCAGTCAGTCACCAGAGCTTGTTGATTCTACCTCCAAAATAGATCTTGGATCCATTCATTTCTTCCTATCTCCGTCATTTATGATTATCCTAGTTCTGACCACCATCATCTCTCGCCTAGACCAGTGAAAGAGCCTCTAAAAAATCTACCCCTTTCTCTCTAACCTCCTCCACTTTAAACACTCTACCCCACAGTGGCCAAAATAATGTTTTTAAAATGCAAACTTGATCATGCCATTCCACTGTTTCAAATCCCTTAATGACTTCCTAATACTAAGAGGAAAAATTTCAAAATCCTTGACTTGACCTAGAAGACCTCATTAGCTGAGACAACTGCCTCTCTCTGTAACCTCATCTCTTGACCTTCTTTCTTTCTCTACAATCCAGCCTCCTCTTCTTCTGAATGCCAAACTCTGTACTACCTCACGGCCTTCTAACACGCGGTCTCTCCATATTTCCCGCACCCCTACACCCATCTCCACCTGGAAAATTCCTATTCTTCTTTCCATTCTCAGCTTAAATGTCACCTCCTCAGGCTGCCCCCCTTCCCTGCCCAGTGTAGACTAGATGTTATATTATCTTACTGTGCCCTGTAGTTTTCCCTCATGTTGTTTATCACAAATGCAGTGACATCATTATTTTGTGATTACCTGCTTACTGACTGCTTTTTCCACTCCTCTATAAGCAGCTCAAGAGCAGGGACCATGTTTCATTTGCCCATTTCTGTGCCCTCAGATCTGGCACAGTGCCTGGCATGAGGGCAGAGTTGGGTTCTAACCTCCAGGGAACGAGCCTATGGATTGGGTCCAGCAGAGAGTGGACAGAGGGGAGCAAGCCTGTGAAATGGGCACCCCTTTGGTCCCCTTCTCCATGGGCCTCCCACCTTGCTGCTTCTTCTACTGTCTTTTCATCACTCTTATCCATCATCATCTCAACGTTACCTTGAAATTGTCAAAAATATGCCCCCTTAGGAGAACATGCTCAGAGGATGCAACTACTCTCCCTGCCCATCCCTTACCCCACCCCTCGAGCCCCAATCAGCGACTTTCTGTGTCCTGCCTGGCACACGGTGCACCATCTGTTGTATGAAGGAGGCAGAGCCCTGCATTTCCCCCAACTCCTTACCCTCTCCTCACTGTCCCTCTCCTCAGAGTCCATGTGTCCCCAAAGCATCCACATCATTGCTTACTCCCTCCAGCTCCTCTCTCCTTCTCAAGGTTAATCTTGCTTGCTTTGGATCCATCCCCTCCTTTCCCATCTTTCTTCCTCCCTGCCCCTTTCCCTTTCCAGCCTGAGGAGTGGGGGAAGGCAGATTTCCTTTGATCCTCCAACTCCCTTGATCTATCCTCCTTACTTTCTGCCTCCCCTCAATGCCAAGGTTCTTAAAAGAACTGTCTCTATTTGCAGCGTTCACTTCCTCCCCACCCACTCACTGTTATTTATTATTTTATTCAGTCACTTTTTGAATAGTTAATATGTGTTCACAGTACAGAATTCAAAATGTTCCAAAAGGTACACCATGAAGCATCTTCCTCCCATTGGTGTCCCCAAGCCCCACAGCTCTCCTCAGAGGCAAACCCTGCTACCAGCTTCTTGTGTATCTTTCCAGAGAGCATATGCATACAGGCATTCTTGTTTGTATTTTTTATACAAATGGAGGCATTTATGCACATTTTCTGTCCTTTGCTTTTTTCATTTAAAATATCTTGGAGAATGTTCTGCATTAGTATATCCAAAGCTGCTTCATTCTTTTAAATGGCTGCCAATAACCCTCTGTGAGGATGTACCATAAATTCTCTGCTGTGGACACTGAAGATGCTTCTAGTCCTTTGTTCTAGCAAACATGCTGCAATGAGGATCCTTGCACATATAGGATTTTTCCACCCTTGTGAGTGCATCTGTGGGATAAATCCACAGAAATGAAATTGTGCTTTGCCTTTTGGAATTAAATTGCTCTCCATAAAAGTTATACCAATTCACCCACCCACAACAAAACATGGAAGGGCCTCGCTTCCCCTCCTACTCTCCAACAGATGGTTTTAACAAGTGTTTTTATTTTTGCCATTCTGATAGGTGAAAAAGAATACTTTTAATTTGCATTTCTTTTTATGAATGCAGTGAAGCATTTTTCTCATGTTTAAGAGCCATTTGAATTTCTCCCTCTGTGGATTGTCTGTTCCTATCCTTCGCCCATTTTTCTATTACATTATTGGTCTTTTAATGATTCCTAGGAACTCTCTATACAAGAAAACTAGTTCCTTATCCATGATATGGTGCTGCAAAATATGCAAATATTTTTAGTCCCTCTATAATCCTTTGCAATATGACTCCCACCCCCACTTACTCCTCAGCAGAGGACTCAGTACGAATTAATGAAGCCTGGCTCCAAACGAGGTACCATGGCTCCTAGTACTGCAGATGGCATTTCCAAAAGTGAAAAAAAACTCTCCCTTGTTTTGCTTTTTTTAAAAAATATATCAATTTTAGTGATTCCTTTGGACATAGCATTTTGAGGGGGAGGGGGTGTTGCCAGTGTTGGTTTTGTTTGTTTGTTTAACTTACTTAGTCAACCAAGCAGAAGGCACTCTTACTCTGGGCTCCTCAACTCCTTCCCTCAGCCCACTCTGCTTGGCTTTCATCTTTGCTGGGCTGTACACTCCACCTAGGCCTTCTAGGGACACCTGGCCGAGGGCTATCCTACCCCATGCTCTAGTCCAGGGGCCATCCAGCAACGTCAGGTCGGTGAAAACCCTGGCAAACTTCAACCAGTGTCCCCTGTGCGCCAACACAACCTTGCTCTCCTCTCCATCCAGTTCCACCAGCCCCCCGCCCCGCCCCCCAACACGCATACAAAGGCAGGAAACGGGTCCTCAGCTGGGTGTCACAGCAGAGCCGTCTGACATTCTAAGATTCCTGCATGGTGGGAAGAGTCCTGGGAGTTGAGCATTTCTTGGGGTCGCAGAACTCAGCATCCCTGGTCTACCCATTCCCCTCCCCCTCATCCCCACCTTCACACTCAGGTTTGCCAACATGCTTTTGGGGGGCCCGAAGACAAGAGTGAGCGAGAAGGGGGCGCATCTGGAACGCAGGACGAGCTCACACTGCTGCTCCGGGCGGGAGAGGGAAGGGAGGAGAGAGGTGAGGAAGGGGTGGGGACCCTGGAAGGGGTGGGGACCGCTGGGCTGGCCCGGGCGGGACGGGGCACGGTGTGTGTGCGCGCGCGTGTGTGGCGTTGAAATGCCCAGCATATCGGGGCAGCAGGACAGAGCCCAGGGCGCGCACGGAGCCTCCGGGTGACTCGCTCCTCCCGCCGCAGCCATGACGGAGAGCTCGGACAAAGTTCCCATCGCCCTGGTGGGGCCCGACAACGTCGAGTTTTGCAGTCCCCCGGTGAGTACCGCCCAGGGTCCCCAGTCCTGCTGCCAGGTTAGTCCACACTCAGGGCCCAGGCTTCGTGTGGGTGTTCCAAACCACTCTCTGGGGTCAGGATTTGTGCCAGAAATGTGGGAGCAAATTTGGGCGCCCAAATATGGGGGTGGGGGCGCCCCACGTGTGTGCGTGTGCAGGGAGCACGGGATGCATAGACGGGTGTGAAGGGGAGGGTGAAAAGGGAGTCAGCAGGGACCGTCCTGGGGCCGGCGGAGAGTGCACCTCCGCGCCTGAGTACCGGGGACCCGCGGGAGGAGCGCGGCGAAAGGGGGCGCCCGAAGGAGCCCAGGGCGAGCTGTTTCCCGCCCCGACCCTTGAGTCCCTGGGGGCGCTGCGCGGGGACCGCCGGCACGGGCGGCGCAGAGGTGACCGGTCCTCTCGGCCCCCGCCCGCAGGCGTACGCCACGGTGACCGTGAAGCCCTCCAGCCCCGCGCGGCTGCTCAAGGCCGGAGCCGTGGTCCTCATTTCGGGGGCGGTGCTGCTGCTGTTCGGGGCCATCGGGGCCTTCTACTTCTGGAAGGGGAGCGACAATCACGTAAGTCCGGAAGGCGGCGCGCGCGGTGCGGACCCGAGTCGGGCTGCGCAGGGCGGAGAGGTGCGCGGAGCCGGGGAGGCGCGCGGAGTGGCGGGGTCCCCTCTGTCACCCGCATGTTCCTCCCTAGGTGGAGCCAGAGCGCCCCCTCGCCCCAGCTTCTGCTTTCCTCTAGGGTCTCCCGGGTGGGGCACGTCTGCCTTCTTCCATCCACCTCCGCTAGGCTGCTCTCTGCTCATGGGCAACTTTGTAGAAAAGCCAGTCTAGGTTTTAAGGGAGAGTATTAAAACGTAAGGTAGCGGGAAAATGCAGTGAACGGTTCAAGGAAAGCCGTTTTCGGCCGATCTCAGCCTGGCGCCCCCTCTAGGCAGTTGTGGGATCATAGGTAAGGCACGTCACCTTCTGGCCTCGGTTTACTCATCCTTAGAGAAGAAAAGCAGCTACTTATCCTTAGAGAAGAAAAGCAACTGTAAGGCCTCTCCCAACTGAGAAAGGCTGTTAATTCTAAGAACCTGGGACAAAGATGGTGGAGGAATATTCAGACCCAGCAGTGGGGACAAATTTGACCTTTCAGGAGTTTTTGTTTGTTCGTTGCATGGTACCTGTTCCTTAATGCTCCCTTCTCTCTTGCTCTAAGGGAAATAAAAAGGTCTAACCTCCTTAAAGGTGATAAATCTCTTTAAAAATCAATTCTGGCCTAGTCACACGTGATTTAATGGTAACTGTTTCACCAACGGCTGGCCTACTTTCTCTGTATGCAACTATCTATTTTAAAGTTCCGCGGGCTCTCTAGGAGTATAAAAGCGCTTCTAACTGAGCAGAATTTGTTTTGTTCCCCTACGTAAAGGGGGGCATTTTATCTTGATGACCATTGCCAGGCCTGGTATAAGATTATTCTGACTAATGGGAAAGAATTCCATCTCCAGGGTGCACACAAAGGGCTGTTTCTTAATCACTACCCTCAGAGGATCTCTGACGGTTTTTCCCCCTCTCTCCCACCATGAAATTCAAAGCGTGAAGGAATTCCAGTACTTAGAGAAAACGGTGCTGAAAGCAATTCAGCCATTTTACGCATCACGTCTTCTGCAGTCACTGCATAATTTGTATTTCTAACTCAAATACCTAATGTAGATAAGCATGCCGTTTAGCACTGAGTCTGTTTTAGAGACTATATCAAAGTTACAAGCATCAATTTGTAAGATCAGAATCGCACCGTATTTTGTGTATATTTGAAAAGTGCCTTAATGTATTTATGTTTTAAATATAGAAGCCGGGCCAGATGCTCATATTTGAAAGCAGCAAATCTGAACATGAGAATAATTTCAATATCCACATCTCCATTAATAGCAGAGTTTAGATGGTTATGGTATTCGAATGTAAATGTTATCTTTTAGATGACAAAACCTCAGTGGTATAGGTCATTTGGGGATAAAAATAGCTTTGCTTTTTTTTTTTGGTAAAGATTTTGGTCATGATATATGTTAAAATGAATCCCATATGGTATTTAATTATTCAAGGCCAACACAGTTAACTAACAAGCTTCTGGAAAGAGAGATGGAAAGATCATACCGAATAAGCAGGGCTCCGTTTTTTCACGTCTTTGACTTTACTGCAAGGTGGTTGGCTATCTGGTTCAAGAGAGTGGTATTAAATTCTGAGAATACAGAGGAATAGTGAATCACATTTTATTGCCCACGATCGAAGTTATTGCTATTTCCTATACAGGCAGGAGAATGAAGAAAATCGTGGTAGTTGGTTTTTTTTTAACTCCCCAAATATTCAATGCTGATCCATATTAAGTCTGAAAAACAAATCACAAAATACTAAATAGAGTAAATTTGGCACCATCGATGCATAACATATGCACAGGTCTGCTTTCCCTGAATTCAAATCTGAATAGCCCAAACAAAGCATAATCAAAAAGGTAAGTCACTGTCAAAGAGAAAGATATGCCCAGCCAGTGGACTCCCTGGGGATTATCCATGCCTCTGCTCCTCCTATTGGTTTATAGAGGAGAACCAGCTGTAATTCACCTCGTATCCCTTTCGTATGGGTAAATTCCCTTAGGACAAGCTTACTCCAAGTCAGCTGGAGGACTGTGAAGCATCGGAGTGCTAATACTGGGGGACAAGTGATTGGGCTCAAATATTAAGGCCATATTTCATCCCCATTATCGTAAATGGAACAAGGCATTGAAATACGGGAAATTCCCACCACTGTGAGATAACTGACAACCCTACCCTGTGGGATAGGGGAATAAGAGAGATCATTGCTTGGGGCCTTTATTCTCAGACTGATTTTTCTAGACACTGTCCCAAACATTATGTAATTAATCTTATAGAACCCTTATTAGAAACTCATTTGCAAATATCCTTGGCTGTAAAAGGCACCATATTGAGCAGAATTTTGGCAAATAATACATTTCATTATACTTGGATAGAAATAGCCTAAGGTGCTAACAGCTCCAGCAATTTAGAGCAGATAATGTGATTACTGCTCCACTAGCCCAGCCTCCTTCTGAGCTCGGGGCCCAGTACTTTGGAAATAACTTCAGAGTGTTTACCACCCCCACCCCAGTCGCTTCAGGAGAACACAGACCTCTCACTGCTGCCCCATGCAGACCGTGTACTGCTTATAAAGGATGGGCTGAAGCTACATTACAAAGGATGCTGTATACCCATACCTAGTTAGGAAGCTTTTGTTGTGAGGAAGGTGGTGGTGGAGGAAAGTGGGATTAGGACCCAAAGCCACTCTTCCAGTGTTAACAATCTTGTCTCCTTAAGACCTGCTAAGAGTTTGGAAACAGTTAATTTCTTAAATTTTGCACTGCTTTACTAGTAAAAGCTTATGTGCCATGCTTTCAAAAAAATAAAAGAGCCTCTTGTTGCTTGAGTGAAGGATGCTTGTGCCAGCAGGAACTCACACAAGTGTTATCTGCCATGCTCGTTTTGACAGGCATAATTAACCCATGTGAATAGTGGCTGCTCGGAGAGCATGGGGACAGAACAGAGTCTGCTTTCTAAACCTTACCTGCAGAAAGCACTGGCTCAGCCAAAGAAAACAGGTTTCCCAAACTTGGCTGATCATAAGACCCACCTGAGGTGCAAAATGAAAACAGATTGGTGGGCTCTGCTCCAGCTCCACTAAATCAGAACCCCCAGAAGTGGTTCTTATGGTCAGACAAGCCCGGAGACAGTATACCGCAGGAATCTAAATTCCTCCATCCGAGGGAAGGAGGGCTGCTGAGAGATGGTTGAGCTGAAGCTGGATGCCGAGATTTTCTGTTCCGCTTAATGAAGGCTTTTGCCTTAAAGGGTATTAGCCAGCAAAGCCATTTCTACATGTCTGTTGATAAAATAAAACAGTGCTCTGTGGGTCTTGTAATAATGAGTTTTCTGCAGCTAATGATCCAATAACAACAGATACTTTTTCCAGTGTGTGTCCACGTAGCAGTCATTCTTCATAATGAGGGAGAAAATCACACTTGAATCTGAGCTGTTTGCAGTTCTGACCTACTGACCTGACACTACGTAGCGAGTGTCTTTCATCAGTTCTCATTTCCTCCCCTTTAAAGTTTTTATATATATATCATCTAAGATATTATATATACACATATGACTCTAAGTCAGAAAAAGAAGGAAAGAAAAGAAAAAAGAAAAGAAATCCATCTACTATCCCCAACACAGAGAAAGTTCTAGCAGGGCAGCCACACACTGACCAGGAGCAGTGGGTGAATTATTTTTTAAATTAGTGTAGTAACAAGATGTCTAAACGAAGAGAGCCCTTTGGATCATCTAATTTAAATTTTTAAACTTTAAAAAAAATTTTTTTAACAGCAGAATTTTTCATAAGATTTTACTCAGAAATCCAACACATAAAACAAATAAGAAGCCAAGCCTCTCTGGTTAAGCTGTGGGTGGACAGGGGAGAAAAGAGCTCCACAGTCCCACCTGCTCTGCCACCCTCACCTCTGGGCTGCCTCTGTGAAACTTCAGAGCTCTAAGGACATAAATCAAAACCACCTATGAGGTCCAGCTTCTTCGTTTCACTCTGAAGGCCACTCCCAAGACCCAGATGTAAGAGGCGTGGCCACCTGTTCTTCTGCTTCCTGGACCAGTCCTCTTCTACGATGCCAAGACTCTCCCCCTTCTCCCCCAACACGTCCTAACACAATGCCATACAACACCATATGCCTGTCCCATAGAGTCATTAAAATGAGTAACTCCCATTTTGAGCTGAAACAGATGTGCACATTGACCTTGCTCTCTACAGATCCCGCTCTATATCAGGCATATCCTAGCCCTGTCTGCAGTCCTTACTATGTACTACGTTCCCTGCCAAATCTTGACCAAAGGATTAAAAGGAACCTTCCAACTGAGGTGCCACTGCAGATGTGTTCAGTTAACAGCCAGTTAACCCTCTGCCTTCTCAGTTTCCATTTATCCATCCATAGGTTTCAACTCTGGCCGCATAGTAGGATTGACCTTTAGAAAAAGATCTGTGCCCAAGCTCCACTCCCACAGGTTCTGATTTGATTGGTCCAGGGGGAAACCCAGGCATGAGAGCTGGAGATTCTACTCAGATGCTTCTATACACAGCTAGGATTGCGAATCACTGAGCTATTTGAATTGGTATCAGACACTATGAAAGGTTTTACTTTTAAGATATTTTTAAAGACATCATTGTATTAAGTGATTGGTATATGGATGAAGTCCTCATATGTAAATGTTTTACTATTAAGGATGATTCAGTATATCTCTGACAAATATGAAGGCTATCTCATATACTGGAGGTCTAAAGATAAGCCCTGAATTGCTCTAAAAGGAAAGCATCACTAACTCTCATGTTCACTTTCCAGATTTACAATGTCCATTATACCATGAGTATCAATGGGAAATTACAAGATGGGTCAATGGAAATAGATGCTGGGAACAACTTGGAGACCTTTAAAATGGGAAGTGGAGCTGAAGAAGCAATTGAAGTTAATGATTTCCAGAATGTAAGTATATTTCATGCATTTGGAGAGTGTAACCAGGCAAGCCTGGGAGACTTTTCCAATTCAGGGAGCAGTAGCATCTCTCACACACACCCAAATGGTAACCATGCTTTATAGCAGACATAGAGCCACTAACCCACATACATCATGCCACATATTCTCTCTGAAAAAGGACCACACTTTGTCTTTTATATTATCAAAAGGAAAAAAACAACCCCTCGGCATGGAAAAGAAGAGGTTCTTCTTGAAACTATATCAAGTCTTGGCAGAAAGACTTGAAAGAGCTATTTCTTTCCAAGCAGCTTTCTGTAACACGGTGAATAAAAAGCAGAAACTATCTTAGAATGTTGCAAGGTCTGAATTTTGAACTTACAGAGAGAGGAGGGAAATTTCAATAAACTAATAATCTCATCAACAACAGGTGGAATCTATTTGCATGCTTTCTCAGTTCTTCAGATTTCCCATTTAATCCAGAAAATTATCATGGAGAAATTCCTCTTTTATATCATGTTTTCTGACCCTGGCCTATTACAGATAAAATATTCGATTCTCCTGTGAAAAGGGCAAACATGTTTGTTTTCAAAAATTCAATCCACAGGCAATTTGAGACATTAAGCTATATATCGATGCTTCAGTGTACATCTACAACACAAAGGATCACCCAGGCCTGTTTTCCTGTTGGCCAACATAAGTATCTCACTCTCTTCCGTGTTCTGAGATGAGGAAGAGGTATCATTCCTTGGGGTCTCCTGTTACTTCTGTAGGTAAAGTAGGTGAGATTTCATAATGAAAAACAGCTCTTGAAAATAATGTGTCTTCTGATAGTTTATTGGCCTACAAACATCTCATCGACCTGTTTTCCTCTGATTGATAGGAAACTAGAGATGCTTTTCATTTGAATGAAAGAACTCCCCTTGTTGATACCAAAACACACCTCACAAGTCTTTTTGAATAGCAAACAGACGTTAGCGCCCCACTGATGTTAGATCTTATTTGATCATCATGAGGACTGGCTATGTTCAGAGTGGGCTGTGCCCTGGGGACGGGCTCTGCAGCCCTGCGTGTGCCCAGCTGCTCTTCATTTAGTCATCGCTTTGCAAATGGTTCTAGTCAGTGCACAAGGATCATTTCTCTGGACCTATTAAAGGCTTTTACTGCAAGACCCAGGACAAGGTAAAAGCATTTTTTTACCCTTGTCCTGCTCAATATAAAATTGTAAAATGTGGCTCCCACACACACATCATTCACTGCAGAACAAAACTGAATGCCTCTAACGTGCCACAATATCAAGATACGCAAAGGTGGCTGCACAGATGAAGAAAAGATCCGTCTCTCTCAAGATGTGCTTGTATCTTGAAAATACTTCTAAAATATTTTAATCCCAAACCTATATTTCTGTTTTATAATCCTCTGGTTCTAATAATGGTATTGATTGTGTTTTGTTCTCATAGGCCAACAGGGCCACAAATATTTTTTAAACTGATCAATTCTCTTTGATAGCTTCCACATTTCTCTAAGTCAGAACTGGTAAGTAGAACACTTTTTTGATGGATAGAGCCTTTTATGGGTTTAAACCAGCCTGAGCTTTTGAAAACATGTGAATCAGCCGCCATGGTACCTGCACTATTACTTTCTCCTGTATTTTAAACTGTCATTCAAATTCAATCAGTGTTTATTGAGGCCTACTGTGTGCAAGGGACAGTGTCAAGCATGGGGGAGGCAAAGATGAGTGACACTTGTTTCCTCAAAAGCTATGAACAGAGGGCTGCGGAGCGCAGAGGGGAGGCAGTCGCTGCCGGATAGAGGGTGGGAGCAGGTGTTGCAGAAGTGGCAACAGCTGAATCAGGTCTTGGCGAATGATTAGGATTTCAACCGGCAGAGGAGAAGGGCGGAGCTTTCCAAGCCCAGGGAAGAATACTGAATACAAATGGCAGGCCTGCTCCAGGGGTCTAAGTAGCCCAGTGCAGCCAAAGGTGGGGGAGCGAGGAGAATGGGGATGCAGTGGGGCCAGATTAGGGAAGGTTCTGAATTGTGAGGAAACAGTCTCCCCTGTTAACCCAGGACCCCACCAAGATTTTAGAACTAGTGGAAAAAAACCTGCTGAAGGGGAATAGCACTGAACAGAGGGCTCCAGGCTCTGTACTGTTAAAGAACAATGACTCAGGACCCTTGTTAACGGAGGCGAGGCAGACTTGATTCAAGGTGGGGCTACTACGGTGGGGTTTTGTAGTAGGGGAGAGATTTCGATCGACTCTGAACACAATAAGGACAAGTGGAGATTAATAGCCAAGGCATACCCTGATACCCTGAGAAATGCAAATACTGGGTTAGTTCATAGTTACATTCTAGAAAGTTATACCCTCAAAAGCATCAGTGTTGGTGGCTTAAGCCAACCCTCTCACACCTAATGACCCATTTATATAACAAAAATCCTGGCTAGAAATTAAAGATAGAATAAACCTGTGGGTCTATACAAGCGTTTGCTATACAATTCTTTTAACTTCGTGAATATTTGAAATTTTTAAAAAGCTGGAGGGAAAAAAAGGATAGCATAACCTTACCTGGTAGGTAGGTAGGTTATTGATTTCAAAAATCAGTGTAACCCCCAACTATAACATAAAGGAAAAATAGAATGAAAGTAATTTATGATAAAATTCAAGCTTCAATATGTAAATGTTCAGCCTGATGCACTCAGAGACACCATCAAGTCGTGTGCTGGCTTCAATCACTGTCAGTGCCACAGCCTAAAGTGCAGACTGATCTAAGTGTGTGTTGACAAATTAAATATCAGGTAATTTTCTCAAACAGTGAAACACAAGGATCATTTTCTCTAATTTCCCTAGTAATTGCTTTCCTAGGAAATTTGCGGTACGTTAAAAGTACGCCAAAGATCACTTTGTGTTTCTATGTAAAACTGTTAGGTTCTGGGCACAGACACTCACAATCAGGTTTTTAACGAGGACCGGGCAGTTAGTTAGTTCTTCAGGGCTTCCGCAGGCTCGTCAGGACCTGGCATCTCTGGGCCCTGCCCCATAAAGGGCCAGAGAGCCCCTAATCTTTGTGACAATGGAAAACTCCCTTAAGGATTTCTAAAGCGCCCCGTTGGGGGAAAGCCTCCTCACCCTCCTTGGGAACTTCTAGTTTAAGCTACAGAAATAGATGAGATCCCCCAGAAAGAAAAAATATGTGGCTAGGGGCCGGCCCAGTGGCGCAGCGGTTAAGTTCACACGTTCTACTTCTTGGCGGCCCGGGGTTCGCTGGTTCAGATCCTGGGTGCGGACATGGCAGCGCTTGGCATGCCACGCTGTGGTAGGCGCCCCACATATAAAGTAGAGGAAGATGGGCATGGATGTTAGCTGAGGACCAGGCTTCCTCAGCAAAAAAGAGGACTGGCAGTAGTTAGCTCAGGGCTAATCTTCCTCAAAAAAAAAAAAAAAAGTGTGGCTAAAACAAGAATATCTGATTCTCCATAAAAGAATGTCAGGTCATTGGACCCTTCACTCATTACCTTTGTCAGCAAATTTCTTCATTATCACCAGCTTCTAAGGCCTTGTTTGTTTGCAAAAAAAAAAAAAAAACAGGAGGTTTCTTGGCTTCCTTGTGCTTTTTCCTCCCCTCTGTTTAATCTCTTAATCTATCTGGCTGCTTGATATGGATTTGTAGCTAGACAGGGTGGTTAATACGTGTGAATTCCTCCCCACAGGACCCAGCCCCGTGGGGTTTCCGTTCTCTTTGCAGCGTGTAGACTGTCAGAACTAAGTCAATACTAGATGCACACTCAGAGCTGTGAATCCTTCAGTAGAGCCGCTCTCTCCTTTGGGGCCATGGTAATGGTTATCTGGTTTTTCCTCTCTTGTATCTCACATTTCAGGGATCTGAGGGTGTGAAGTTAAGAGGGGGCAGCAATCTCCCTCTCCTGCCTTTTGTTTTTCAAACCGTGAGCTCTAACCTTACCTGCAGAGTAGGAGGAGCAGGCCTTCAGGGGAGAGCAGAGAGCAGTGGTTCTCAGAGTGTCCCCCTTAGGCCACCAGCAGCAGCATCACCTAAGAGCTTGTTAGAAATGCAAAGTTTAGCGCCCACTCCAGATCGACTGAATCAGAAACGCTGGGGCGGGGGCCAACTCTCTGCTTTATTTAGCAAGGCCTCCAGGTGATTTTGATGCCAGGGAAAGTTTGTGAGACACTGGTACAGAAGAAACTTGGGTCCCAAGGCTGTGTGTTAGTCCAGTCCGGCTGCTGTAACAAATTACCATAGACTGGGCGACTTCTAAACAGCAGAAATTTATCTCTCACAGTTCTGGAGGCTGCAAAGTCCACCATAAAGGTGCCAGCAGATTGGGTGTTTAGTGAGGGCCCACTTCCTGGTTCAGACAGCTGTCTTCTCACTGCGTCCCCACATGGCAGAAGGGGTGAGGGAGCTCTCTGAGGTCCCTTTTTACAAGGGCACTAATCTTATTCATGAGGCCTCCACCCTTTTGACCTAAGTACTTCCCCAAGGCTCGCCTCCAAATACCATCTCTTTGTGGGGGGGGTTAGGTTTCAACATATGAATATTGGGAGGATACAAACACTCAGTCTATAGCAGGCTGTTTCAGTCATTTAAAAACTGTGTTTCCCTGAACAAGTTCCTTTCTCCCTAAACTGGTGGTCTTCACCCCTGGCTGTACATCATAAACTCATGAGGATCTTTTAAGCATACTAGTGTCTGGGCACCGCCCCAGGCCAATTAAATGGAAATCTCTGAGGAGAGACCCAGGCATCTGTTTTTAAAATCTCTCCAGGTGATCTTAATGCAGTGAGTCAGAAGCTCTGCAGGAAGCCTGGGGTTCCTCCTCTGTAAGCAGGGTTGATGCCCCCCACCCCAGCCTCCCAGAGTGAGAGGTGACTCTGGGAGAAATACGTGAAGTGTGCTACATCTGTGTACGTGGTCAGTTAGGCCGCAAGGCACATAATGAGGAGCTTTAGGAAGAACGAGCCTTTCCTTCTCCGTTCTCTGCTTTGTCACCCAGCAGCTTTTGAAGGGCTCCTGGCTCTGAGGTTACATGTCGTATAACTCTCCCTGAATGTCCTCAAGAATGACTTACATTTAATTTCGTTCTTCATTTAAGAGAGCTGAATCTGGGCCGGCCTGGTGGTGTAGTGGTTAAGTTGGTGCACTCTACGTCGGTGGCCTGGGGTTCGCAGGTTTGGATCCTGAGCACAGACCTACACACTGCTCCTCGAGCCGTGCTGAGGTGGCATCCCATATACAACATAGAGGAAGATTGGCATGGATGTTAGCTCAGGGCCCATCTTCCTTAAGCAAAAAGAGGAAGATTGGCAATAGATGTTAGCTCAGAGCCAATCTTCCTCACACACACACACACAAAAGAAGGCTGAATCCTGAGCCAGGACCCCTAGATTTACAAATGCTTTTCTTCCCTCACTCCCTGGCATTGACACTGGAACTGGTTCTGTGTCTTCCCGACGTTTGTCTCAACTCAACAGAAGATTGACAAGTTGAGATGTTCAGATTTCTGTTGGTGTCTACATTATTACGGCATAAAATGTGTAGACCTTTAATACTGTTTTTGGCCACTCGCTAGTGATGAAATTAAGCAGCAGGGTGAAAGTAAACACTCTGGGGACAGAACCTGCTGTCGCGCCTGATGCGCTTTGTGGGTGAATCAGTGCCGAGCTGTCAGCCAAGATGGGAGCCTTGCGGATGAGGTCTCCCTTGAGGCTGGTCCCTAGGCAGATGAGGAGGAGACACTGTTTATACCTCACAGAGGAGAAAGACAAAATATCCAAGTGTTTGCAAAAGGCCTAGGAGCAAAGTTCAGCTCCTTGTGTTACAGAAAGCTTTACTATTTACTCTGGGCTCGGTAACTTAGGAAAAATCCGAATTCATGGAATTAATTAATTGGACCAGCATCTTTTGAGAACCTTTGTGGGATCACCAAAAAGAAAAAAAGAAAAGATTCAAATACCAATGTCAGGAAGCTTATAACTGAGTAAGGGGATGACACTCACAAGGAACTACCGTATAAACACTGAAAACTAAGCACCAAATGAGGGAGGAAGACGTGAGGGCTTCTGGGAAGTCAGAGGGAGAAGAACCTGCTTAGACTGGGATGGTCAGAGAAAGCTGCATAGGAAAGATGGTGTTTCCTTTGAGTTTGCGGGATCAATGGAGCAATTAACCTAGCCCTTCTCTGCTCCAATGCCACCCCCTGGTAGAGGCTGACCACAGGTCTAAAGTACTATTCCCTGTCATTCCTATCTCGCATTCTGCTTTATTTTTCTCCATAACACTTATCACCACCTGACCTTATCTCTGTTTTTTGTTTTTGGTAAATAACGCTAAAAGATAGGCTCCATGAGGGTAGATTCCATCTGTTTATTCATTCCTAGACCCAGGACCCGAGCAGTGCCTGGCTTGCAGTAGACACTCAATACACTGAATAAATGAACGGATGGATAGATGGATGGATAAACTTTTATTCTCCCAGGGCATCACAGGAATCCGTTTTGCTGGAGGAGAGAAGTGCTACATCAAAGCCCAGGTGAAGGCTCGCGTTCCTGAGGTGGGCACCGTGACCAAACAGAGCATCTCCTCCGAACTGGTGGGTACCAGCATGCTCCAGACCTCAAGAGAGGTTGGCAGACATTGTTTGAAGGTGCAACCATTTCTGTCTCTAGTTCCTGGATAGGTTCATGACCAGAACATAAGCTCTATGTCTTCTCTGCCAAAGGAATTAAACTATTTTGGTCCTCCTGGTTGGTTCCAAGTGAGCATTCTTACATGATGTAGTAGATTTAAAGGTTTTGGAAAACCATATTTTAAGTGCATAAAGGGGCTTGGTCTTCCTATGGCCTTATTTGCCTGATGTTAGGGAACTACCTGATCAGTGATTAAGACAACATGAAGGACTTCACGTGATAGAATCTTCATTAAAGGGGCCTCAGGAGCCTTCTAGCCTCAGTTCCACTCAATGTGAAAAATCCCTCCTGAAAATCCTTGACAGCTGATCGCCCAGCCTCTGCTGGAAATCAGCGACAGGTGCTCTCTTCTCTGTGTGTCAGGCAACTTCTTGGGAGGTAGTTCTAATTGTTTTGCCCTACAGGGGGAGCTGTCATGGCTCCCCCTACAATTTCTTCCCATTGGTTCAAGTTCAGCCCAATGAAGCTACTCAATATATATCGAATTCCTTTTCTATGTGTCAAACCTGTGAGGTTTTAAAAACATAATTCTTCCATTTATTATTAATATCTTGCCTTTGGTCTTAATTTTATAAAAGTTTACTTTAAGAAGTGCACACACAGTTCTAAAACTATGTTTAACAGTAATGTTCCATTTATTTGATACATTAGGGCTTATGAAGTGGTCACATTCATTATCATCTTCCATTGGAGTTGCGGCAGGGTATGGTGGAAAGAAAATGGACTTTGGAGTCAGAAGAATGTGGGTTCAAATCCCAGCTCTGACACTTGCTGTGGATTTGGCTTCAATTCTTTGAGCCTCAGTTTTGTCATTTACAAACTAGGGGTGTGTAGACTGTCTCCATGGGTCTAGAACCTACTAGATAATGGATGGCTGCTGCTATAATTATTAATTTTATTATGATCATCTTTGATCCTTCCAGTATCCCTTAGAGGGAGGTGAAGCAAGCATCAGGTCCCTCAAGGCAAAAGAGGGAAAATAAGGGTAAGAAAGGTGCCTGGAAACTGCCCAATTGTTTGCTCTCATGGGAGCACCAGCAGGAAGCATCTCAAAACAAAACAAAACAAAAACTAAACAGCAGCCTGTGCGTTTCTAAAGCTGGCAGTCTTGTCCTCAGTTTTCTTTTCTACTCCCAGTTTCCCCAACCATTCGTCCTGTGGGATGGTTTCCAGTCATTCTCCCTCTGATCCTGTTCCAGTTGTTCCTCCTGAGCTGAGCCGTTCAGAGCGGAGAGCCACGCTCTCAGTGTGACTCCACTAGTACAGAGGATAAAAACGGACCTATACCTCCTTTGTTCTTGAACTTAAACTTCTCTTATTGCGTTACCTTTTTTGTGCAGTCATATCACTCTGTTTCTATTATGAAGCCTCAGTGAACTATAATCCTCGACGTTTCCCCGTAAGTGGCCGTAGACCTGGTTCTGCTCTCCTGCCTTCCAAAGGAACCAACTCCCCAACCATAGCTGACTGAGAGCTAATCAGAAGTTTGCAGTACATTTTCTGGGTTTTTAAAAAACACGTCTTTTTTTTCTGATTTTTAAAAACAATACTTTGTCAACGTAGAAAATTTGGGAACTACATAAAAGAGTAGAGAAGGAAATTGCCCAAATTGCACACCCCACAGATAGCTCAGGTTAATGTTTTGGTGAATTTCCGTCATATGCAAGTGTGTGTGATATTCTTTTCATAATTGAAGTGATACTGTTGTACATTCTTATTATTTTCGCTTTAGTTCTCAAATGTACATTATAATGGATGTGTTATATTTCATCATATCATAATTTTAAGTCTGTCCTCAAAAACTTCAGGTATCTTCAATTTTTCACTATTTCAAATAATTCAAAATAATTTTTTGAATACAGAAATAATTCATGGTGGCGAATACTTTTGTATTTTTTAAATTTTATTTATTTTTTTAAGGAAGATTAACCCTGAGCTAACATCTGACGCCAATCCTCCTCTTTTTGCTGAGGAAGACTGGCCCTGAGCTAACATCTGTGCCCATCTTCCTCTGCTTTATATGTGGGACGCCTGCCACAGCATGACTTGCCAAGTGGTGCATAGGTCCATACCTGGGATCCAAACTGGTGAACCCTGGGCTACGGAACTTAACCACTGCACCACCAGGCTGGCCCCAATACTTTTCTATTTAAATCTTGGTCTGCATCTGATTCTTTCCTTAGGCCATAGAGCCGAATTATTTGTCTTGTGTTTTAGTTGTTTATATTGTGCATGGTGGATTCTGTGGTGGAGAAAACCAAATTCACACAATATGTTTGTGTACATTAGGAATATTTTTGGCTGTCAATCGCAGAAAACTACACTTAGAGTGTCTTAAACAAATAAGGATTTGTTTTTCTCCATAGTAAGCACTGTGGAGGTAGGTGGCTGCAAGCAGTGGCTCAGGGGCCAGCATCTCTGATTTTTTGCCCTTTCCTTCCAGCTCCAAACATCTACCATGCATTCAAGTAGGGAAGTCAGGAAGAGGTTGAGCAGTGCCAACCGTGACTTCCCTTCAAGCAGAAAAAGCAGAAGGCTTCTCAGCCCGCCAACATACGTCAGCATGGAGCTCACTGGCACCGCTAGCTGGAGAGTCTGAGAAAGCGAGTGTCTCTCCTGGGACCAGGCACATTGCTGCCTCAAACAGAAGCAGGATTATGTTGCAAGGAACAGGAGAGAGGTGGAGACTGGGCAGGCCACTGAAAGTATATGCCACCAGTTTCTTTAACATTCCTAGCTTGTGGGACGCATGTATATATATGTGTCATCCCCATCATCCCACTCTTTGCCCACACCCTTTAGATTATGATGGGGTAGATTTATGCACCACTTGCTCTCATACATTTTTCATCAGTTTTGTATAATTTTAGAAAGCTTCTATACCCAAAGAGCATTCATTTCCTGGATGGAGCCATTTAATTTAAGGTAAATAACTGGATTACCTGGGCATTAGCTTCCTCCAATGACTTTCAGTTGTTTTAATGCAGCCATAAGCCTGAGGGAGAAGGCGTAAATGAAATGCTGCTTTTAGCTAAAAATACGGAGAAAACATTTTAATTTCTCCAACCTATTGCAAACTAGTAAGTACATGAAAGGAACAACCTGGCAAAATAAATTTTTCTCCTGGGTTATCAAACCATTCTCAGTATCTCGCTGTAGAAGAAAATCCAGGGTTTAGCTTTGAAATCTCAGTGGTGTGCTTGATGCGAGGGACATCTGAGACATGTTTTGTTATAGCTGGGAAATGGAGAAATGGTTTATGTTGAGTAAGACTTTGAAGACATTAAAGAACCAATCACTTTTTCCATTGTTGTTGGGAGGCTGCAGAACAAAACCCCAAAGGATTTTCGCTTCAAGTGAAGGTTTCCTCTGTCCTTTATAGCATTCCAGGCCCGTTCAATTGCTTTTCCTCAAAAACATCATTGATCAAAAACATCAGGTTAACCTAAATCTCAAACTTGGTATCAAGTAATTTTCACTTCCACTGAGGACACTCGTATTCACACATTCCAGCTATCCAAAGGCAGGGCAACATGAGGGCGTGAACATTGTTAAGAGAGCAACAAAGAGAAGAGATGAGAACCTTAAAGTGTGTGTGTGTGTGCGTGTGCACGCACATAGACCTACATACAGAATTCTCATTAAGTTTTCATAAGGCGAAGTAATCTTTTACCAACACGTGAATCTCCATATGCAGCATGTTCCACTGTCCTCTTTGCTCAGTGTATCTCATTTTTGCTTACAGGAAGGCAAGATCATGCCAGTTAAATATGAAGAAAATTCTCTTATCTGGGTGGCTGTAGACCAGCCTGTGAAGGACAACAGCTTCTTGAGTTCTAAAGTCTTAGAACTCTGTGGTGACCTTCCTATTTTCTGGCTTAAACCAACGTATCCAAAAGGTAACATTTTAAATTCTCTTAATGGCTGCTTGGAATTCTCCTGGTTTGCATGAGGCTCCTGTGAGCCCCTCCACAGGCCTGAGCGTGTAACAAGGAAGATAAATCAGGATGCGTGTCACACTGTTGCAGTGTCTCAGGAATGGGCATGAGAGATCAAAGAGAAGGAAAATGACAGCCGCGAATGTTAAAGGGAAGGGATGGAGCAGCAGGGTTAACAGGAAGCAGATCGGGAGCCAGAAACCACTGCACTACCTGTGGTCTTTCTTTATGATATTCCCGCTTCTTTCTGCTCTGCCTCTTAATCTGTTGTTTGCACTTTCCAATTTTACATTTTTTTATTCCTAAGGCAGAGAATTCAGGGACTAAGAAGCTGTCATACCGCCAAATCTTTATTATGTTGAAACCTAGAATTATGGGACAGCCAAAAGCTGCTGTGGGCTGGGGCCAGCCCGGTGGCATAGTGGTTAAGTTCACGCTCCACTTCGGTGACCTGGGGTTCCCAAGTTTGGATCCCGGGCTTGGACCTGGCAGTGCTTGTCAAGCCACATTGTGGTGGCATCCCACGTAAAACAGAGGAAGATTGGCACAGATGTTAGCTCAGTGAAAGTCTTCCTCAAGCAAAAAGAGGAAGATGGGCAACAGATGTTCGCTCAGGGCCACTCTTCCTCACACACATACCAAAAAAGCTGCTGTGGGTATGGGTTGGGATTCCTTAAGTTCAAGGCTCAAGCATTAGCTTCCAAGTCCGGTGAGAATAAATGAAGGGTCCCTGGGGTTCAGACCCAGGCTGGAGCACACCTTCCACTATTTCTGGGTGCTGAAGGGCAGGTGAACCGCGCAGGCCAGGCTCCTGCCCCTGAGTTTCCCCATCCCCAGGGCTGCTCTCACTCTTGATTTCCACCACAGTCACCCCACTGGCCGCCCAGAGGCCCACCTGGTACTCTGGCTCAGGTGTGGAAAAAAAGGCCTTTCTCCTAGCACAGCTGAGATAGACTACACTTTCTGAAAGATTTTATTGGACACCGAGAGAGAGCACCATGGAAATAAAGAAAATGCAGGCATTAAAACCACAAGGCTCAGGAGGGGGCAATGGGTGGATATGGTTTAAAGGGAGCAGAGCTTCAGTTTGTCAAGATGAAAAACGTTCCGGAGATAGCTGGCTGCAATTTTTTCAAAAACCTCACCAGGCTTAGAAAGTCTAGGCTTCTCATTCAGCCATGGCTAACTTCTTCCTACAGTTGGCACAAGTCTTATTCCATCTCAAAGCTTGGATAAGATAGTTACTTTCTAGCCCAGGCAGGCCAGACGGGATTCAGTGTATAAGCCACTGGTAGTGGCTATCTGGAAGAGTGAGTTGAGAAGGATCCTGAGGCCACATGCAGGCTCAAGAAGAAAGAGTCCAGGGGCTGGCCCGGTGGCACAGTGGTTAGCTGCGCACGTTCCGCTTCTTGGGCGCCCGGGGTTCTCCGGGTTGGATCCTGGGTTCGGACATGGCACCACTTGGCAAAAAGCCATGCTGTGGTAGGCGTCCCACGTATAAAGTAGAGGAAGATGGGCATGGATGTTAGCTCAGGGCCAGTCTTCCTCAGCAAAAAGAGGAGGATTGGCAGTAGTTAGCTCAGGGCTAATCTTCCTCAAAAAAAAAAAGAAAAAGAAAGAGTCCCATGAGCAGTATCTGCCACAATGTAGGGGCCGGGGAGTGGGCAGCTAAATGGGCTGTGGCTTTTGCCATCCCTGCTCTTGCCCCAGTGGGTGCTCGAAACTCACAATCCTGTGGCCACTTGCCAAGTTCTCACCTTTGATGCCTCACTTCCTCCACGTGGAATCAGCCTCCTTGCTTTCCACTACCCGGGAACTTCTTCTCCAGTATCTTGTCACCTGTCCAGTCAAGGACAAAAGTCTGCTTCATGGAGAGCTCTCCCTAAGCACTTTCTATCTGAGGACAAGTCTCTTACCCAGAGAGTTCATTCATTCATTCAGCAAACATTTATTGAAGGCTTATTATGTGCCATTTACTTGTTCTGGGCACTTGGGATAAATTGGTGAATAGACAAGAATCCATGCCCTCGAGGAATTTTATATTGTAGCAAGGGGAGACAGTAAATAAACACTAAATTTAAATAAGAAAATTGTATGGTACGATACAAGGTGCTATGGGAAAATGATAGAGCAGGGCAAGGGGTTGGGGGTGGGGACAGGAAGACAGTGCTGTTGGCAGTGCTAGGATGACTGACAGAATGAGCACCTTCACCCTTTGGGAAAGAGCTTGTTCCCTACATCAAAGATGTGGCTTAGTTCTTCACAGTCCAACAGCATGACCACATCTTAAGCATTCAGTTATCACAACATCCACAGCAGAATTACATATATTACGTACAACACCAGAAAAGTGGAAACCACCTAAATGCCCCCAGATTTGAAAAGGATTAAATAACTGTTGATATAGCCATAGGATGGGATACCATACACATTAAAAATGAAGGATTTGGGGCCGGCCCTGAGGCATAGTGGTTAAGTTTGGCATGCTCTGTTTCATGGCCCGGGTTCACAGGTTTGAATCCTGGGTGCAGACCTATACTACTCGTCAGCCATGCTGTGGTGGCAACCCACATACAAAACAGAGGAAGATTGGCATGGACGTTAGCTCAGGGTGAATCTTCCTCAGCAAAAAAAAAGAAAAGAAAAGATTTTTTTTCCCAATCTCTCATAAATGCAGTCACATTTTATAATAAAATCAAGAAAATAACCCCCCCCCCCGAGGATGCCTGGCTGCCTCACCACCTAATTCTAATAAAAGCCCCCCAACTCCAGTGTCCAGCAGTCTGCCTTGGCTCGTCAAGTGGGCAGGTCACCAGCATCATGCAGCTGTCTTATCAGAGACACTGTGAATGGTGGCTGGGCAAAGTCAGAGGGAAGGGCGAAAGCTGGTGTCTGCTGAGCTGCGCCTGTGCTAGAGCTCTCCATCCTGTGCTCATTTAATCTGGACAAGTAGTCCAGGTCACTACTAATAGTCCCTTTCTATAGATGAAGAAACTGGGGTTCACAGAGATTAAATAACTTGCCTGAGCTCATTTGGTTAGTTGAAAGAAGCGGTGTTGAGATTTGAATCCAGGTCTCCCTGATGCCTCAGAAACCAAGCAGCTGTCTGGAAGCTATCTGTGGCTGCAAAGCACATCTCCGTCCTCATAAATGACCCAGCATGAGATCATCACCACTACCGAATATCTGAGTGCTTAATATACGCTAAACTCTCTGCTAAAACCCTTAGACAGAGTTTTTCATTAATTCTATCACTGCCCTGATAATTAGATACTATTATCATCCCCATTTTACGGAGGAAGAAACTGAGACTGAGAGAGACACCGAAGCTCACACTGTGTGGTACTTTCCATTTTTGTTACTCAGCAGCCATAGGTCATGCTGCAGGACCTGTGAGGCAGTGTGGTGAACCAGAGCACTGGGCTGGAAGCCAGAGAAATTCACGTTCAGCTCCTTTCTTTGCCACCCATTCTGTGATCTTGGCCAAGTCATTTGGCCTTTCTAAGCCTTAATGCCCTCATGTATAAAAGCACCTACTTTTTCTATCCCATAGGAGTTTTAAAAGAATCAACCAAGATAATAAGGCCCCTAAAACCATAAAGCTTCATAGTATAGTCAATCTATTAGGAATGCACAAGGCTGGAAGTAACAGAATACCTGATCATCAGTGGTTTCAACAAATACAAGGTGACTTTTTTCATATAGCCAGGAGTCTCAAGATGGGTTTCTGGCATTATCAGCTACTCAGTGATATCATCAAGTCTCCTTCTGTCTTACCATTTTGCTACCCATACCATGCTGGCTGATTATCCTTGTGTCTATCACTTCCAGTCACAAGTGGGCTAACAGATATCATATCCGCATTCAAGAAAGGAAAACATATCTGTCCTCTTTACCAAGAAAGCAAAAGTTTTCCCAGAAACTGCACTAGCATATTCTGCTTATGTCTCACTGGGCAGAAATGTCTCATCTGGTCACTCCTAATTGCAAGGGAGGCTAGGGAAATGAGTGGTATTTTCCTTCCACAAGCTGTATGGCAGGGGCAGGAAAAGGAAAAGAGGATTGAGAATGGATTTTTGTCAGCTATCTTACAATATCCATGTCAATAGGATTATAAACCAAAACTTGAGTTATCTGTATGTTTAACTCCTAACCCGAGACTCTGAAACATGCCACATTTTACAAAAATCATGAATACAAATTTAAACAGTATCTAGTCATGTATGTGTTTTGATAGCCGTTTTTTATGTTTTTCACCCTGTACAGAACTTAATTATTCAAATAAAGAAATAACTTACAGCAATTTTTTTTTGCAGAACTCCAGAGAGAAAGAAGAGAATTGGCAAGAAAAATTGTTACAAATACCACAAAAAGACCACAGAGTGGACCACAGGGCAACCCAGCCCCAGGAAGACCAAACAACGAAACGAGACCCGGTGTTCAAGAGGATTCAGGCCCCTTCAATCCAGACAACCCTTACCACGTGCGTACTGGCGTTTCCATGACGTGCTCAGACGAATGCATTGAACCTAACACTGAACTGGTGGTGTTTCTACTTGAGCTTTCAAACAAGCATTTAGTATTCAACTGAGACTTACTAAAAAAGTATCTCGTTTGTTGCAAGGTTTATAAATTAAGCATTAAACTTAAGCACTACCTCTGTAGTGTAAAATCCTGATTGGTTGTAACCTTTATTCAAAGTAGTTTTCTGTGCTCTCCTCTTTTTGAGTCACAGGCAAATCCAAAAAGACAAATTCGCATCAGGAATTTATTTAAAAATGTTTCCAAGTGTGCCCTGGAGGCAACACACAGAATGAAAGGATCCTCTTTCCCCCTCCATATCCACTTTATTCATACGTTCCACAGACACTCGTTGAGAATCTGCTGTTCCCCAGGCCCTGTGCACACAGTCAAGAGTAACTTTGCCCTCGGGGGCTCTCAGTCCAGTCGGCAGACAGACTCACCTAGAGGTGACATTGAGAACTGGTGCAAGGATGACACTGATGTGCTAACAACTTCTCAAATCCTCAATGAAATATTACTTACCATTACTGTGTTTTTCATGGAGTGAAAGAAGAAAAACAGCATTTATTTGTACCTAATGTTTTAACTGAAAAAATAATACGTGCATGTACATTTTAAACGAAGTATAAAAGAGTACCAAGTGAGTTTCCCTTCTACCTCAGCCAGCCTCCCCAGGACAACCTATTAACAATGGCAGGCTGCCCAGTTTCTTTGCATAAGAAAGTACACTCCCACACATGCACACACGTATTTTTAACACAAAAGAGCATACAAAACTTTGATATCTTGCTTTCTTTCCAGTTACAATACAGTATTTTGGAGATTTTTCTGTATCTCCTACCTAGATCCACCTCATTCATTTTAATGGCTACATTGTATTCCATTGTGTGGATATTTGTACAGAAACTTAACCAGTTATGCTTTGAGGGACATTATTTTCCTGTCTTTTGCTGTTACGAATTCTGTTAATATACACCTTGTACATGCCTCATAGGGTTATGGGAAGGAGTAAATGAGGAAATGCAGGTGAAGCTGTTAGACAGGGCTTGGCATATAGTTAGCATTAACTTTCTCCATGTTAGTTGGCTATCAGCCTTATTAGACCTCTTGTACACATGTGGGAGTATGGCTGTAGCACAAACACTGATGCATGGGTCTGATGGGTCCAAGTAGATGGGAATTTCATACTTCAATGGAGGACACCAAACTCTCTTCTGAGGAATTACACCAGCTACACATCTTCAAATGGTGATGAAACGAGTAACTTGTTATCACTTTTAAAAAATCTTAACCAGTCTCTTGGGTGTAAAATTGTATCTCCAGGTTGTTTTATCTTGCCTGTCTTTAATTATGCGTAGGGTCGAGCATCTTTTCATACACAAATAAGTCATGTGTATTTTTTTTCCTATGAGGCCTATTCAGCCCTATATTGTTTCATGTGTTACAAATATATTTTCTGGTTTATCATTTTAGACTAATATATTTTAAAAAGATTTAGAGCAAAACGCATTTTCTAAATAACCCAAAGCTTATCAGAAAATCCAGGACTATGGTACTTCATTCCCTAAAACTCAAATAATAATTACAAAAGAAATAAAATCTGAACAGGGAAACAAAATTTAATCTAGTTTTTTCCGCAGGTAGCTGGGCTAACTGAATCTGTTTCTAGGGACGAGGGCATCAGCCCCTTTACAGAAGTGCAGGACGGGACTTTGCCTTGCTTCCAGACTTGAGTCATCTCTATTCCTTGAAAAACTCTAGATGTACCAGTTTTTCCCTTTGTTACAGTGTTGAGCTTTAAGCAGAAACCCCTCCTCCTGATCTCAGTCCCTCCCATGTCCCTTGTAAGGAAATACCCTAGGGCAACAACCTGAGATTTCCTCCCAATTTTTTAATCTTAACAAACCTTTGCTGAACTCTCAGATGAGGAAAGGCCTCAACAGGCTTTTGGACTCCCCGCTACCGGGAAGAGTCAGCTACAATTAATGAGGTGGTTTTTATTTTTGCTGTCCCAGATGAACTTACTTCAAGAGATACGGGGGCGGGGGAGCGGGGGAGGCTGAATAAAAGAATAATGGTGTAAGAAAGTAAGACACCAAATATTTTGATGACAATATTTGAACACAGGCTGTACCAGACGGTGTTAAGGAATTGCTAATTTTGTTAGGTGTGGTAATGGCAGTGTAGTTGTTTAGGAAAACACTCCATTTTGGAGGTGCATTCTAATGTATTTATGGGTGAAGTGTCATAATGCCTCCCTTCAATTCTCTTGAACTTCACTTCAAAATTTTAAATACTTCAGCCAAACAAAATCAAATTGGACAAAAGTTAGCAACTGTCAAATCTAGATGTTGAGTACACAATTTTCTCTGCTTTCCATTATGTTTGAAATTGGTCATAATAAAAAGCCCTCCACCCCCCTCCCTGAAAAATTGAGATTCTTTTTGTACACCAGAAAAGGTGCTGGGGTCGCTTAGGTTCAGTTTGTGTTTGGTGTTGCATCTCTCTGTTCAGCTTCTTCCAGGAAAGAGGCTGAAATCGAATAAAGAATTTACATCAGCAATAAGGACTTCGTGACAATGTAATCCAATGCCCTATTAAAGAGGATACAGAATCTACAGCCCTAGAATTCCATGAAAAAGAAAACCAGATTCATAAATTTGACAGGGGGCAAGTTCCTTCCAGTTCTGTGATCTTTCCAGCAGTGACAATGGAGGGTTTTGTAGGTGTTTGTGTAACTATAATTATGGCACATACAAACTAGAAGGTAAAGTTCAAGGTCTTGAATTTTTCCACATTATATGTCGTCTTTTCCTGAGTGTGACAACCCCCTTATGTTGAAACAAAGGCAGTGGAAGCTAAATGGATGACGTTTTCACCCACTGCAACTGGAATAGCAATCCGTTAGCTTAGATCAGTGAGTTTCAAAATGTGCTCTCAAGAGCACTGGAAGCCCTACAAGAAGGCACCAGTGTTCCGCTGACTTAAAATCAGCAGTGGCAGAAATGCTACTTTTGAATCATGCTGTTTTCCTATTTAAAACAAGTTGAGTCACTACTGAGTGGTAACCATGGCTCATTAAAGGTATGGGGAAACTTCACCGTAACATTAAAAAAAAAAAAACCTTCCTGCCAGGGACAGATTAGGTAGATGAAGTCCCTTGATGTGAGAAGGAATTCTGAATTATGAGGTTTTAAGACGGAAATCTCCTTACAGAAAATATGCTGATTTCTTGTAGCAGTGAAACATTCAGGATCTTATTTAAAAATAACGTGCATGCTATAAACTTCGCATTATGAAGAAAACACGAATAATGCTCTTTTATTTCACAGCAGCAGGAAGGGGAAGGCATGACATTCGACCCTAGACTGGATCACGAAGGAATCTGCTGTATAGAGTGTAGGCGGAGCTACACCCACTGCCAGAAGATCTGTGAACCCCTGGGAGGCTATTATCCATGGCCTTATAATTATCAAGGTTGTCGTTCGGTCTGCAGAATTGTCATGCCGTGTAGCTGGTGGGTGGCCCGCATCTTGGGCATGGTGTGAAATCACTTCATATACCACGTGCTGTCAAGTAAGTTTTAACTTGAGACAAGCAAAGTATGAAGCATCTTGATGCTCAAGGGACCACGAAGTATTTTATACTCAATCTGAGCGATATTATTCAAGACTTTTAACAGAATACTTTTTAATAGCTTTAAACAGAACTTTATCCAGAATGTTCAAAGGTACTGAAAAGGTAGTTTAAGTCTAAAAATGTCATAATCATCCTTTATTACTTGCTATTTTTTATCTGCTTTGCTTTGCCCAGAAGGCCTGCTTATAAGACTTCCTTCCCAAGCTATTTTGAAATACACATGAAAACTTACAATTTGTTAAAGATCTCAATTGTACGTTTGAGTTCCTTTTAATCAAGTCATTGACTAAAATAAAGTTTTTCTCTTTGTACAGAATTCCTCAACTGTTCTTAGACTGTATTGTTCCTCCCAGTCTTGCAAATGTACCCCTGGAGTTCTGAGATAAAAACAAACAAAAAAAGAAAACAGGACACATAATGGAATCCACCTGAGAGTAAACAATATAAACCTCAATGTGGTGGCTCATAGAAAATTCCTTATCTACAGTATGTGCTGGCATGTGATTAACAGGTGGCTGCCCTATATTAAGAGTCACCTTCAGGAAAAGAGCATTAGGATAAAAAAGGAAAATATGGTCAAAGATAAACCAGACTTGTGGGGAAGGGCTTTCATTGACATTCTGAAAAGCAGGTCTTCACACCCTTTTCAATCTGTTTTCAGTAAGCGGTCATTGGGCATGAAGCAGCATAATGATTTCTACCTTTCTAGTACAAATCAGGCTGCTAATGTAGTCCAATTACCAATAAGTTACTCTCCTAGTAATAGGGCTGACAGTGCTACTTGGCAGATATGGCTGAGGAGGAATGGCTTATTTATTTATAATAACATAAAGAAAGCATCTCAGGAACAAGGACTGTATTTAGAAATTGAAATACTAGAACAGGAAGATGAACAGGTATTTTCTATTTTTTGACATTTTAGTTTTGAATCCCATAGTTTGAAAGAGAAAGAACTTTCCTAAGGAAATAAAAGTTTTCCAAAACAACACAAGGATTCGGAGATGACAGAAAGGTCTTTATACCATAATGTCACTACAGTCCCATATTCTAAATATGCCTTATTATTGTATTCCTACTGTTTGCCAATTTAAGTCTGTAAAGTCACACAGAATTTTTTAAACCTGGTTACCAGATGAACACTCATACACCTGCATTTAATAGAATATACAGCAAGCTAGGTCTTTGGGGGAAAAAAGGGTTGAATGAAAGACACACTGAATTATATGTAATGGTCATGCTGTTCTCAGACAGAAGCTACTTCCTGCAAAGTTATGAATTTTACATGTTTAGTCTTTAAAATGGTTGTCATTCTATTAACTAAGTAAATACGTGCCAATGGTTCTGCACACCATCTCCCACTGCACTGCCCAGCAAGCTGCACTTGGTTCTGGAAATAAAAAAGAACAAAAAAAGAACGACTCAGTGACCCCTGCCCAGAAGAGCTTGTGGTCTCATAAGAGATACTGATTATCAGGACTCAGTATACCGAAGGTCTTGATAAAGATGAGCATTGGGCTTCTTGGAGGAAGAGAATGCCTTCATGAGGTCTTCAAGGATGAGCAGGAGTTGGCCAGGTGATGGGAGAGGAAGGGCATTCCAGGCAGAGGGAGTAGTTCAAGTAAAGCTGGAGGTGTGAAGTTGCATGGCACAAGCAGACAAATGGAGCATTCAGGTAGAGGTAGGAAATATCAAGATCGAAATGTAGACAGAAGCTATATCTTATATTGCATGTTAACTTTGAATTAATTTATTTGGTGAATAAAGAATAGGGAACCATGAAAGGTTTCAGGCACGGAGAGGGCTGGTTAAGTTTCCATTTTAGATGGATCACACCTCACTAGCTTTCCATGTGAGAACTGAGCAGGCGTCAGACTTACCAAGGAGCAGAGCATGTCTTAAAGGCAGGCTGCCTCTGGAAGAGGTGCTCCCTTTTCAAAGCACCATAATTAAATTAAAATATAGGAAATGGATAATTTACTTCATAACAGATAATGAAATTATGTTGTGTTATGAGAAGTCACTAAATACCCAGGGAAGTCAACAGAAAAAAAATATCATGTCTTAAGGGCAGAGGAGAAACTCAAGGTTGGACAAAGGGTAGGAATGACAGAAGAGATTCAAATTGTGTTCAAGGAAGAAACCTAAAGGTCTACTTTGAAAGAGAAGAATCAAGTGTACAAAAGAACATCATTTAGTAAAGGAAGACAGGCGACTGCAGAATACAAGCTTTTCACAAACTGGTACCAATTCCCAGATTAACCAGGCCAGTCCAAAAGCTGCAAATACAGCCCAGTTTGCTGTGCTGAATCTTGACTGTGTATAGACACACACACAAATATATATTTTATTATTTTATAGATATTCAATTTCAGTGGTGGTGTAAACCAATCCTTACAGACATCATAGATTTTCAAGGTCCTAGTTTGATGCAGATTGGAAGGGCTACTATAGGCTTAGATGTGATAGTTGCTATTGTGTCAGTAGACAAAAAATGAAGAAATAGTATTGCTGGGTTTCAATATGTGTAAGTGTTCTTTCTGTTACATTAACATATCTCACTGATATATGCCAACAAACTTCCATTGCAATTTTAGAAACTTACCCTCATCCTTATACCTCCCCATTCCACCACCACCTCAAATAGATGACACTAAAGAAGTAAATATATTCAGAATAATCACTTAACCCACTCAACAGTTTCTTACACCAGGTTTTATTACACTCTGAAATACAAACTACAGTTTTACAAAATAGAAATTCCTTGTGTGAGTGGAATAACTTAATCTTATTTCGGTACAAACTGAATATGCTGATTTATTTTATGAACATTTATGTTATAGAAATGGTCACAATTTTTTTAAAGTTAACTCATTTATTGAGGGGGAAGGAAGGAGTTGACAAAAATCTACATGCATAGATAGTCCTAGTAGCATATGCAAACATAAAGGTGTAAATTTGAGACTCAATGAGGCAAACTTCAGCAAAAACATTTTACAGGCAGAATGAGTTTTGATGTTTATGAAAAAATGCTAAACTCCTCTTAAAGGGCTTTTGTACATATATGCATGCTCATATTTTATATGCATATATAGGTTTCACTTTGAAAAGCCCAATATAATATTACAATCAAATTTACAAAACAGGTTAAGTTAGTGTTGACTGACTTTTAACAATAAAGGGACTCACCACAGGTTTTGTTTAAACTGCTTACATTAGAAAGTAATCAATTTACATACAGTTTTTAGGTACTTACTGTGTAAAGATAAGTAAGTACATCTATATCAACATTTATATGCATGTATAACCTAAATCTAGCAAACAGCTGATGCTATTTCTAACGTATTTGGCTTACTGAACCTTTTCCCCATCTTTATAGTTTTAAAATCAAATATATAGGAGTCAGTCTTTATTAGGGTATATGTTATCACCATAGAGTGATAAAAATCAGTAATGGGACTGGGAATAGTATACCCACAAACCTATAACTAGTCCCTAGGTTAAAACATCAAATTATTAAAAACCATTTGTTTTAAGAGGTATACCCCACTAAATTCCTTCTATAAGTTAGTAATAACTTTACAATGTTATCTATCATATTCCTGTTCTCTTTGTGCATGCTCCTTTACAAAAATTCTCTTCACATCAAATTCCTATAATTGAATCAGAACCCCAGAAAATTCAACCCTTTTTCTCATCTGTAACATGATAGAAAAATTTTAATAGCAACGAGATAGCTTGGAAGAAATAACCTCTATATACTTTTTTTTAACTAGTATTATATTTGCAAATTTACTTGCAATTACTTTTTCTTAAAACGTGGTTTCCGTGGCTTCCTGTCCTTCAGCCTTCCAAGGTGTGGATTATTTGCTACAAATTTTCTTTTCAACTGTCTATATTCCATTAACTTAGACTATTATCCATCTTTTTATAATGAACTTGCTTTATACTGACAGTCAAGGACCTGGAATAAACTTGTCAAGCATGAAATTTCTCTTAGTAGGACGTGCTGCTCTTAAAGACAAGTGGTTTCTTTTCACTTAGAACCATATTCCTATCTGTTAGCTTCTGAGGTAACTATACAACTACATAGCAAAAAAGATCTCCACAGGATGCACCCTAACACACATTCTACTCAACCAGCACCGTAACTTTTAATATCTACTTAGCACCTGTGTGTAATCAGACAGGCAACATCTGAGAATACTCCAGTTGCTAAAGAAGAAATAGTGCCTCATTATGGCTCTCCATAAATATTGAGTATTTTAGTATTCTCTGCTCAACTTTAGTATTATCTCAGCAGTGATAAACTAGCATCTTGTCCAAATAGTCTCAAATTATTTCCTTTTGACTGAAACAGATTTTCTTTCATCATGTGCAGTACCAATTATATGGATTCAATGACTTTATCATAACGACCCTAAGGTTCTAATGATGGAGAAACAAAAATAATCACTGAGCATCTCTTCTCCGCCTTTACAATTCACGTAAGAGTGAAAGAAATTCCTCAAAGGAACAAACCCCCAAGTAACTTTTTACTTTTTTCTAAAATTTATCAGAAATAAGACATTAGAGATGATTAGTGCTAATCTCACTTCTTTATTCTCTCCTTTACTCCTTGAAGCCAGTGCTTTTTTTGGTGAGGAAGATTGGCCCTGAGCTAACATCTGTTGCCAATCTTCCTCTTTTTGCTGAGGAAGATTGTTGGTGAGTTAACATCTGTGCCAATCTTCCTCTATTTTATGCGAGATGCCACCACAGCATGGCTTGATGAGCAGTGCTAGGTCCATGCCTGGGATCTGAACCTGCAAACCCCAGGCCACCAAAATGGACTGTGCAAACTTAACCACTATGCCACCAGGACAGTCCCTGAAACTAGGGCTTTTTAAGGGCAATGCCCCAGGTCACATACCTCATGATCAGCAGGTCATTACAAACACAGATTTACTGGGCCCT